ATCAACCTTTCCATGTAGCCAACTTCTTTGCAAAAACATCTACAAGTGGCTTTCAGAAAGTTGTCTTCCGACAGCTTCCCCCAATGAGAATTCCCAAGTATTTGAAGGGTAAAGCACCCTTTTTGCAACATAGCACCTATGACATTTTGTCAAGCCACTCCTCCTCCATGCAAATACCGATGAGTTGGCTTTTGTTAAAATTAATTTTGAGGCCCGAGACAAGTTCAAATGCTCTCAAAATCCTTTTCATTGCCCAGACATTTTCCTCTATAGTTGTTCCAAACAATATCGTGTCATTTGCATATTGTAGGTGCAAGACTTTGAAGCCTTTAATTCCCACTTCTACCCCTTGTAACAACCCTTTTGTGACTATAGCCTAGACCAACCTGTTTAGACCTGCTGCAATGATCAGAAACAAAAATGGGGATAAGGGGTCACCTTGCCTAAGGCCCCTTGAAACTGTGAATTGTCTAGTTGGGCCAAGGTTTTTAAAATTGAACCGGTCATTGAACCATTTTTAGGTTTGGTTTTTGGTTTAATAGGTTGAACCAGTTGAACCGGTGAATCGATCGGTCCAAACAACAAGGGAAATTTGATGAGAAGGGCAGGCAATTTTGTAATTTTATTAAAATTAAGGGTTAAAATCGATATAAGAAAGGAATTGTGAGGGTGAAATTGGAAAAAATAGAAAGAAAATTGCATGAGAAATTGAACCGGTGGTTTTTCCAGTCCTACTGGTCCACCGGTTCCATCAGTTTTAACTGGTTTTGACCGGTTTTGACCAATTTTGACCTCAAACGATTTTTTTGTGTAAACTGAACCATTTTCATTACCGGATACTGGTCCGACCGGTTCAACCGACCGGTCCGATCTGATTTTAAAAACCTTGAGTTGGGTTGTCGTTGACCAAGACTGAAACCATGCTTTTTTTGAGGCACTCCCTAATCCACTTTCTCCAAATATCACAAATCCCATCCTCTGCAACATATAATCAAGGAATTTCTAGCTAACCTTATTGTAAACCTTCTCAAAATCAATCTTAAACATGAAAGTTTTCTTTTTCTTCTTTTTTGCTTCATCGATCATCTCATTCGCTACCATTACTCCATCTATCAAGTGTCTTCCATTAATGAATGCTATTTATTGTTCCCGGATAATACCATGAAGAACCTTCTTTAATCGATTTACTAGTAGCTTTGCCAAGATTTTATACAGTACACCAACAAGGGACATGGGTTTGTATTCTTCAATCTTTTGTGGATTGTCCACTTTTGCCACAAGGCTGATGAAGGAATTGTTTAGACCTTTCACCAATATGCCATTTTCCTGAAATTCTTGTAGGAATCCAATTACATTGTCTTTAATTACCTCCCATTCACTCTTGACAAACCTAAAGTTGAAACCATTAGCTCTTGACACCTTTGAACTATCGCATTCCCATACTGTTGCCTTAACCTCCCCTTCACTGAAAGGCAAAATAAGTGAGTCATTGTCCTCTTGGGAGACTTGCTTAAAGCTCACCCTTTCAAGCCTTAGCCTTTCCTTTCGCTCTTTAATGAACCGGTTCTCAAAAAAGGAGGAGGTTTCCTCTTTCATTCTACTAGTCTCCCCAATTTGGACTTCTTTTATTTGAATACTATTTATTTCACTCTTTCTCCATCTTCCCCTCACGCAAGTATGGAAGAATTTTGTATTTGCATCCCCTTGAGTCAGCCATGCTTTCCTTGATTTTTGCTGCATCATACTTTCCTTGCTCCTCAAATTATCCCAAACTATTATAAAAGCTTATCTTCTTTTCTAAATTTCCTCCTCCATCAGCTGCTCCTTTTCCCCATTTATATCTATTTAAGCAATCTCTATCACAACCTTACTTATTCCTTGGTCAAAAGTTGGAACTAAGTTTTGGCTCCATTTCCTTAATGCCTCTTTAGTTAGCTTCAATTTTTCTTTGAGTCGGAATCTTGCCCACCCATGGACTTGAGCTTTACTCCATACCTCTTTAATCACCTCCTTGCACCCCTTTTGTTCTAGCTATGCATCAAAGAATCTGAATAGCTTTGGTCCCCAATCAATATCCTGATGTTTTAATAAGATTGGACAATGATCTAACACTGTTCTTCTCAATCCCATTGTCTTGCCTCTCCCCACTTTGACAACCATCCTTCGGAAAGCAAGAATCTGTCAATTCTGCTCATATAGTTCCCACTAGATTGATACCATGTGAACTTCCTACTCACTAGTGGAATGTTTATCAATTCTAAGTGAGTAATGAAACTGTCAAATTCTTGCATCTCAGTGGTTAGGTCTGTGCTCCCCTTCCTTTCCTCCACCTTCCTCACAGTATTAAAATTGCCAACAATACACAAGTAACCCCTTTATTTGCAACTAGATTACTAAGCTCCTCCCAAAGAGCTCTCTTTCCAGCTAATTGGCATGGAGAATAAACATTTATTAAGTTTACTGGAACATTCTCAGAACCCC